TACAACGGCTCGGGGAACACATGGCCAGACAGCTTGGCAGAGCTCGTGCCACAACGCTCGGCCACATGAGCGACTCCAAAAGGCAAGGGGCGACGGTGATTCGCAGTAGGCGTCTTCGATACAGGATGAGAGCTTGGGGAATGGTGATGGATGATAGATGACGAAGGAGGAGGAAGAGGATGGGGGAAGGGGTGAGGGAGGCTGGAGGGGGAGGGAAGCATTGAGGAGGTACCATAAGGATGATGGTAAGTAAGACGAGGATTCGGAGAAGGGGGCGATGAAGAAACTTAGCGAAGAAGTTGAGGAAGATGAAGACGATAAAGACGCACAACCATGAGCAGGAGAAGGAGGAGGCGCCAGACGGAGGATGAGGAGTCAGAGAAGAAGGATTCAATGCTACAGACGCAGTGGACCCAGCTTGATGCACGCGCCAGGCATTGCAAGAGGAAGGGGAGTAGGGGGTGTCGTTAACGCTTGTCATCTGAGGCGGCTCTGAACGCCAGGGGGAGGGGGGCCCCGGCTTGGATGGCAGCGTCCCGACGCAGCCGAAGCTCCAGATGTCGGCCGCAAGACCATGCCGCGAGTGCGCGATGACCTCGGGCGCCATCCACGGGATCGAGCCTCGCATGGTGTGCGTCAGCGTCCTCCCAGGGGGGAGGGGGGGAGGGAACAACCGAAGCTGTTCATGCTTTCCTCGTCTGGAGGGCGCCGTGAGCGGATTCCAGGACCTTGCGACAAAGGGGCCCACGGAGAAAAATTATGTTGGAGGACGGTTGCGTGAGAATCGCCGCCTAGCAACGAACAGCAGGACTGCTCATGCTGGACATAAATCGGCAGCTCTCTGTCACTACATTGTTAACTCTTGGCCACGTCTACATCGCAGAGGGCAAAGGGCGGAAGGGAAAAACCATTCCTTGACGAAAGCCTTGCCCCGACTTGTGACCGCCGCGATCGCCTCGGCGACCTCCAAAACAGACACGGAGGCTTGGTTCGGGGTCGGATATCACGCAACGAGAGGATGGGGTCACGACCCCTGGGGAGTCAAAACATTCGAAAACGACGACGGAGGTCTTGCCATCCTCGTGCATTGTTTTGCTTCGTGCGCGTACTTTTTCAACAGATGGTCCAAGATGCTCCTCGATGGCCCCCGCCGAGAAAAAATGCACACGTCCGAGCGATGCCATGAGGTTCAAGCATACGCCGCCATGTCCCCGCACGCCCAATTAGTGCCAAGACCTTCTTGGACATTGCATCCCAACCTTCGTGGCCAGAAATGAATACGAGGAGGCTAGGTGGCAGCCTTAGAAAAGTCCAAGATTTGCCGGGGCCTGGTTTCTCCTCCAAGCCCTTCCCGAAACCCTCCGACCCCCCCCGCGAAGGGTTCCGGGATGCTTTTCGGAGGGTTCTGGGAGGGTGTCGGAAGGGTTTTGTTCGTTTTGGGGGGGAAATGGTCCCTAGCGAACCCTGGATCTTCTAATTAGAACAATGATCCTGGCGATAGAGAATCTCTTCTTCGGTGGAGCTCCCTATGGGAACACGAAGCGCTGCACTGGGTGGGGGGGACGCATGCGGGCGATAGCACTGGGGCCGTCGGTGGAGCTCCGTATGGGGCCAAGAAGCGCTGTACTGGGTGGGGGGGGGGTGGGGGGGGCGTGTGGCGGGCGGTAGCAGGTAGCACTGGGGCCGTCGGTGGAGCTCCCTATGTGGCCACAAGCGCTGTACTGGTGGGGGGGACACATGCGGGCGGTAGAACTGGGACCCTCGGTGGAGTTCCCAATGGGGCCACGAAGCGCTGTACTGGGTGGGGGGGACGCATGCGGGCGGTAGAGGCGCCGGGACCTTCGGTGAGCTGTCCGTTATGGGGCCACGACACGCTGTACGGGGTGGGGGGGACGCATGCGGGCGGTAACGCTGGGACCTTAGGTGGAGCCTGTATGGGGCCACGAGGCACTGTACTGGGTGGGCAGGGGGACGCATGCGGGCGGTAGAACTGAGACCTTCGGTGGAGCCTGTATGGGGCCACGAAGCGATGTACTGGGAGGGGGGGGACGCAGGCGGGTGATAGCACAAGGCCGTCGGTGGAGCTCCCTATGAGGCCACGCAGCGCTGTACTGGGTGGGGGGGGCGCATGCGGGCGGTAACTGGGACCTTCGGTGGAGCTCCCTACGGGGCCACGGAGCGCTGTACTGGGTTGGGGGGAAGCATGCGGGCGGTAGCACTGTGGCCGTCGGTGGAGCTCCCTATGGGGCCACGGAGCGCAGCTGGGTGGGGGGGACGCATGCGGGCGGTAGCACTGGGGCTGTCGGTGGAGCCTGTATGGGGCCATGAAACGCTGTACTCTGGGTGGGGGGAACGCATGCGGGCGGTAACACAAGGACCTTCGGTGGAGCTCCCTATGGGGCCACGAAGCGCTGTACTGGGTGGGGGGGCGCATGCAGGCGATAGCGCTGGGACCTTCGGTGGAGCTCCGTATGGGGCCACGAGACGCTGTACGGGGTGGGGGGGACGCATTCGGGCGGTAGCGCTGGGAACCTAGATGGAGCCTGTATGGGGCCACGAAACGCTGTACTGGGTGGGGGGAGACGCATGCGGGCGGTAGAACTGGGACCTTCGGTGGAGCTCCCTACGGGCCACGAAACGTGTGAGTGGTGTGCTGAAACGGGTGAGGACGATGATGTTGCAGGGAGGAGAAGAGGAAGGAAGGAGGAACAGGGGAGGGAACGCGGGGACCGTCTCTTCAAAACGAGGACCTAACACCACAGGGTGGTTAGGAAAAAGAAAACGCCATAAACATAAACTGTTGGCACTCCGCGTGGATTTCCTGGATCTGCGCTGGACCCTCCTCCCTGGAGCGCGGAGCGCGCCAGGGGCGGCGCTGGAGGCGGCGCCAGGGGGGCCCAGCGCGGATCCAAGAAATCCACGCGGAGCGCCAACAGATTATATTTATGGCGTTTTTTCTTCTTCGACTGGCGAACCCTGGACGTTCTAATGCCGGCCCGTCCCCTCGTCGCCGTCGTCGTCAACGTCGTCGTCGTCATCGTCATCGTCCCAAGGTTCGTCGTCGTCGTGCGAGCCCTGTACTTTCTAATGGTAATTGTTGGTTTCCTTCCCTCCCATCCTGTTCGCCCGCTTCGAGCAACCGAAGTCTGCCAGCTTCGCCCTCCCGTCAATGGCTATGATCGGCGGCGAGCGAGGTGGGGAAGTGAGAAGGAGAAGGCCTTCTTAGAAGTTTCGGGAGTCCCACGGCCTTCTGAGAAATTGTTTACGTCTGAACCTTCCCCGACAACAGAAAAAACCTCTCAGAAGGCGCGAGGGCTTCTGAGAAGTCCGGCCGAACTGAGAAGACCTTCTCCTTCTCATTCACCCCCTCGCTCGCCGCCGATATGAGTATGTTGCTGCCTTTGATATCCCTGTGCACGATCGAGGGGGAGAGCGTGTGCATGTACTCCAGCCCGTCGAGCAGTTGCTTCGAGTACCGCGCCATCAGCGACTCCTCTAGAGCAACAGCACGCGGCATAAACATACACTCTGTGAAGTCCGCGCGGACTTCTTGGATCGGCGCTGCACCCCCTCCATGGCGCGCGGAGCGCACAAGGGCGGCGCCGGCGGCGCTGCCAGGTGGCCCCTCAGGCGCCAAACCCAGAAAGAAATCTGCCCAGAACTCCGCCGGTCTCTTTATGTTTTCTCGATTGGTTTCTTCTTCGATCCTCGAACGGCCCGTACTGCTGCAGCGCCTGCGTCAGGGTGCCTCGTGGGCGAAAAATATATCTGTATCCGCGGCATCGCAGGCCAGGCCCAGGGAGCCCGACCCCGCGAATACGGAGCGTTATGTCGCCGATGCCCCGCGCGGAACGTATGCGTGCGACCGCGTATCCGCGGGGTCGCGCCCCGGAATCCAGACCGCGAGGGCGTAGATATGGATACGTTCGCCGCTCGTGAGTGCCCCCCGGCATGTGCTCCAGGTAGATGTAGACGGAGCCGTTCAGGTAGTCGTGCCCGAGGTAGCCAAGAACCCGTCGCCCGCGCCTGTTGCGCGCCGTCGGGCGTTCGAGAAAATGCCTATAGCGGCGCTGTGGGGGGCTGCTGTCGGCGGATGATTGAGCCCCTTTCGCCACGACCGCCTCCCCAGATCTCCAGCGGCGTGTTTTGCCGATCCCAGCTTTTCCTCTGATGTCGGCATCCAGGGCCATCTGCCAGGCCCTGGTACCATCCAAATGGATCCGGGGCGAAAAAAGGGACCCCAGGGAAGAGGTCGGGCCCTCTCGGTTGTCGGCTTGAAAGAAGATCATATCCGCGGATGTCAGTGATGAGCAATGAGGGTACTTTTAACTCTTTGGGGGGACCTAAGGTAATCATTAGGAGGGTCCAAAACACTAGGGGAAAAAGGTGGTCTCTTCTGCAGATGTATCAAACCAAAACGCCCAGAGCTGTTTCCCTAATGCGAAGACGGGGACCTGAGTGCGGCCACGTCTTCATCGTGTTATTCAAGTTAGGGGTTCTTTAGTTCGCGATAAGTCAGGATTCGTGGATCTCCCGTCTCGGGCACAGACAGCTCCCCGAGAATCCCCACCGCCGCCCAACCCCAGCGAGGTCGCGGATATGCGCAGCAGCGCACCCAGATGTGCGGGTGCTTCAGGTCCCGCATAATCTCGATTTCGTTCTCGAGCGCCTCCCGATACTCTTGGTCGTCGGCGTCGTTCGAATCAATGGGCACCTCCTTGACAGCGATGGTCCGGCCCGTGGCCTTGTCCTAGGGGAGACAAAGAGGTACCGATATCGTTGCTCGCCAGACCTCTCCCGGAGTGCGTTCTGACTAAACTTCCGAGGATAATCCAGCGGTGGCGACGAGGGCTCTTCAGGACGAGCAGCGATATCGGTGCCTTTTCCCTCCCCTGATGTCCAGCGCTCGGAACACCTTCCCCAACGATCCTCTGCCGATCATCTCGTTCCGCACCTTGGACGCCCGAATTATTTCGAAAACTCTGGGCGGGGCAACCCAGGTGTTAGCCCCCAGCGTGCGAACATAACAACTATCTGGATGAAGGACCCAACCATATGTAGTTGTGAATAACGCGTTGTGGGTGCCGCTTCCGGTGGACCACGCAACGCGTGATGGGGCGTGCCGAAATTGGTGGGGGGGACGCATGGGGGCAGTCCCACTGGGGCCTTGGGTGGAGCTCCCTGTGGGGCCACGACGCGCTGTTGTGGGTTGTGGAGACGCATGCGGGCGGTGCAATTGGGGTCTTCGGTGGAGCCCCCATTTGGGGCCACGCAACGCTGTATTGGGTGGGGGGGGCGCATGCGGGCGGTCCCATTGGGATCTTCGCTGGAGTTCCCTCTGGGGTCACGAAGCGCTGTACTGGGTGTGGCGGACGCATGCGGGCACCCCCACTGGGGCCTTCGGTGGAGCTCCCCGTGGGCCCACGAAACGCTGTACTGGGTGTGGCGGACGCATGCGGGCACCCCCACTGGGGCCTTCGCTGGGGCTCTTTTTTTGCAGAGGATGGCGGGGGGGTCGATACCGGTTCGGCTGGGATATTATGAATTCACAAGTCGGATGGACGATGGGGCAGAATCATATGTAAATTGCACTACGAAAAAGTGTCCCGTTAACTCGGGGGGGCGGTAGAGTCTATTCTTCTTTTAGAAAGGAGAATCGATGTTGTGCCATCTCTGTGGTGCAGTCTAGGTGGCCCAGACTACAGGCGGCGACGAGGCGGCGACGGGGCGACGATGGCGACAACATAGCCGCCAGACAAACGGTCAGGCACAGACGGCGGGCGTCGACGAGGCGGCGACGGGGCGGCGACGGCGACAATAGAGCAGCCTCACCGACGGTCAGGCTCAGTTCGCTTAGAGCAACAAGTAAGGACCCCAACGAGCAACCAGACCCCAACATTCTGCGTCATCTTTCGAGCCGGATCGAACAAGCAGGGCCACGCCAGTTGTGAAACAATGGCACCGCTAGCCTCTCAGAGTGACCACCTCCAGCCCCGATGACTTGGGGCTCTGAGCACCCACGTCAGCTGCGAGCCCACCACCACGTCCTCCGCCCTCTCCGCGCACCCCGGCGAGAGGGCGGCCCCCTCGGTGCTTGGAGCCGCGTCCGTGGCCTCCACCTGCAGCGATGCCACGCGCTGCAGCGGGCCGCGCTCGGCCACGACCGAGCCCGACCTGCTCCACGCCCGCCCGCTGGACACCGCCACGTCGGGGACCTCACGAGCGGCGAACGTACGGTCGGAGGAGGAGGAGGAGGAGGAGGAGGGGGGGGAGGAGGAGGAGGAGGAGGAGGAGGAGGAGGAGGAGGAGGAGGAGGAGGGCAGGAGGAGGAGGAGGAAGGCAGGAGGAGGAGGAGGCGGCGGCGGCGGGTCGGGAACTTTCGCGTAGCGCGTCGGGGCGGCGGCCCCAGCAACACGCCGTGCGATCTGCCCTGCGAGCGGACAGCGCGCCGCTCCGCTGCGCGGGGCGGGAGGCTCGGGAGAGCTTGGGACGGTGACCTCTGGGGAACTTGCCGTCGCTCGGACGTTCATTTCCCGTGCATGTTTCGATTTCGTGCGTGTTTTTGTTGTTGCTCGATGGTCCAGGATGGTCCTCGATGGTTCTCGCCGAAAAAACACACACCCACACACACACACGCACACGCACACGCACACGCACACGCACACACACACACACACACACACACACACACACACACACACACACACACACACGCACGCACGCACGCACGCACACACACACACACATACACACACACACACGCACACACACACATACACGTCCGAGCGATGCCAAGGGAAGGGGTGCGACGTGCGTAGCGCGTCGCGCCGCAGCGTGGAAATGGGCCGGAACAGTCGGAGCGGCACGCGAAGCCAACGTTCCTGACCGCAGATCCATATCCACAACCTCGGGGGGCGCGATCCCGTGGATGCCCGGTCGTGCGGGCACAGTCGGCGCGGGGCGCCCGCGCGGAAAAACGCCTCGTGTCCACGGGGCCGCGGCTGAAAGGGCCCTGCCGCAAGGCCGCAGATACAGATCGTCTTGCATATTTCGGCGATGGCCTGGGTGACCTGGCGGGGGGGAAAGGGGGGAGGGGAGATGCTTCAGACCTGTGCAGACGATAAGGGCAGGTCATCCCGGGGGGGCAGACGGTCCAGATGACCCGGGCTCTCGCTGGACCCATACTGTGGAAACCAAAACGTACCACTCCTCCTCCTCCTCCTCCTTCTCCTCCTTCTCCTCTTCCTCCTCCTCCTGCTACTCCCTGCTCTGTTGACTTCTCCTCCCCCTGGCCCTCCCTGTCCTCCAACTCCCCTCTTTTCCCTCCTCCCCCTTTGCCTCCGCCTCCTCCAGGGACCCTCGCCCTTCAGGAGGGCGCGGGAAGGTACCGATGCCGCCACTCCCTAGACCTCCTCTGGGGTGCGTCCCGACCCCGAATTCCGAGGCGAACCCGGCGGTGGCGACGAGGGCCTCTCAGGAGGCCCCGATCGGAGGCGAATACGCGGGAAGGGCATCGGTATCCGTACCGCTTCCTCCTCTGCCCTCACGCATCAGTTCTCCAGGATCTCCGCCCACGAAGACCCGCTCGACGGCGGCGTCCCCGAAGGCGTCGTCCCGGTAGTCGTGCTTCGGCAGGTCCTCCTGCGGTTAAGTCGGGCCTGTCCCCCTACAGGGGGATTTTCGACGAAAAATTAAAAATACCCCCAGAATACCCCAAAAAGATCCATTGGACGATTCTTCGATTATTTTTGGGGTATTTTTTTATTTCTCGTCGAAAATCCCCCTGTAGGGGGACGCGCCCGACTTACTCCTGCGGCGAGGCGGCCGCCGGCCCCCCCGCCGCCGCGACGGGCGCCGCGGGTCGGGCCGGGCCTCCCGCGGGCGGGGGGAGGGCTGGGGGGCGGGGCGTGGCCGCCGCGGGGGGGGGGCGCGGGGGACCTGGCGGGGCCTCCGACCGGGGGCGTCCCATGCTGCCGGGGGCGGGCGCCACGCCGCCCCGGGGGCGGGGCCCCGGCGCCCGGGGGCCGCGCCGGGGGCGGGGCCCCCGGGCCCCGCCCCCCCCCCGGGGCGGGCGGGGGCTCGGCGCGGGCGGCGACGCGGCGCCCCACGGCGCCCGTGGGCCCCCCCCCGCCCCGCGCCGCCGGGGGGGGGGGGGGGGGGGTGGGGGGGGGTGGTGGGGGGTGGGGGGGTGTTCGGGGGTTGGGTGTGGTGGGGGGGTGGGGGGGTCCCTCCGCCGGCGGGCCCGCCTTGCAGAGAAGGGGTAGTTTCTCGCCGGGGTCTGGCCGTTGTTTTTTTTTGACGTAGTAGGAACCGCCCGGCAAATTGGAGCGGGGGCTTCCTCCGGCGCGAGGAGGAAGGAGGAGGAGGAGGAGGACGAGGAGGAGGAGGAGGGGGGTGAGGAGGATGGGAGGGAGCGGAGGAGAAGGAGGAGGAGGAGGAGGAGGAGGGGGGGGGCCACGGCACCGAGGGCGCATGGCTCCGAGGGCGCCGAGGAGCGAGCCGGGGCGGAGGCCCCACGCTCGGGAGCGAGTCGAGAAAGCGCAGTTGGCCCGCCCGCGTGCCGTTGGACACTGCACGGGGAGGGAGCCCAGTCCGTGCCGAGGAAGCAGCGAGAAAGCCTTCGCAGAAGGCCTTCTCCTTCTCGCTCCTCCCCCGGGCTCACCGCCGACTCCGTGATCTGTGGCAGGTCATGGGAGCCTGTCCCGGCATCGTGTTGGCTCTTGCGGATCGGCGCTGCGCGACGCTGAACCGACGCGAATCGACGCTACATCGACGCTGACAAAGGCTGAATCGTCGCATGGCCCATCGAGCACCAGGCTCTGGCGCACTCGAGTAAACTCCAAAGACGGAACTGCACGAGGACGCACAGGGCTCCCACGATGCACCAAGGAGCGCAAGCAGTGAATAAGAAGTTCTGTCGGCTACACGCAGGAGTGACCCTGGGTAAGAGTGACCTTTGGTGCGCGGCTTGGGGGGCCGCGGGGGACCAATCACAAGCGCACAAGAGTCACAAGACGCTACTATTGCAGCGCGCTCGGCGATCGGGGGGCCCCTGTGGGCCCGCACCAAAGGTCACTTCGGCGAAAGGGTCACTCTTACATGTAGTCGACTCTGGGGCGGACGATTCAACAAATCATTTCGCTGGCCTGGTTGCCTCCGCAAGGGGGGGGGGAGCAGGCCGACGGAGGGCGGTCAGTCCTGGGCTGTCTGGGGGGCCCAGGGGGGCTCACGGGCTGATAATTCAGAGCCGGGGGGGGGGGATGTCTTTAAGCGCTTGCTTTGGGTCGGGCATGTCCCCCTGCACGCGGATGTTGGACGAAAAGCTTCAAACAGTTAAACAAGAAACTCCAACATGGTCAAGCATAGATGAAAAAAACATCAAAACAAAAACGTCCCCATCAATTTTTTTGATTATTACCTAAGAGCTCTTGCTGATTGGTTTCTAGTGGTCTCAAAAGAAAGCATCATGACTCCTCAGGGGGGTCGGGGCGGGACCCGGGGCGGGACCCGGCGCGGCTGCCGCCGCATTCGTTTTTCGCAAACCGTCACACACTTCGTGCTCTTCGACCTCCCAGAACTCCATTCCCGGGCCACATTCTGAATGCCCGGAGCCAACTGTAGGCCACTTCGTGCGCTTCGACTTCCCAGAACTCCATTCCCGGGCCACATTTTGGATGCCCGGAGCCAACCGTAGGCCACTTCGTGCTCTTCGACTTCCCAGAACTCCATTCCCGGGCCACATTTTGGATGCCCGGAGCCAACTGTAGGCCACTTCGTGCTCTTTTAGTTCCCAGAACTCCATTCCTGGGCATGATTTTGAATGCCCGGAGCCAACTGTAGGCCACTTCGTGCTCTTCTAGTTCCCAGAACTCCATTCCTGGGCCACATTTTGAATGCTGAGGCAGGCTGATGCTGCGGCCGAGGCAGGCTGAGGCTGAGGCAGGCTGAGGCTGAGGCCGAGGCTGAAGGCAGACTGAGGATGAGGCTGAAGCAGACTGAGGCTGAGGCTGAGGCAGGCTGAGGCTGAGGCTGAAGCAGGCTGATGCTGAGGCAGGCTGAGGCTGAGGCTGAGGCTGATGCAGGCTGAGGCTGAGGCAGGCTGAGGCTGAGGGAGGCTGAAGGCAGACTGAGGCTGAGGCTGAAGCAGGCTGAGGCTGAGGCTGAGGCAGGCTGAGGCTGAGGCAGGCTGAGGCTGAGGCTGAGGCAGGCTGAGGTTGAGGCTGTGACTGCGACTGCCGTTGCCGCTGCGACTGTCATCGCGAATGCGACTACGACTGCGAGAACAGCAGAATGCTACAACTGGATTTTCATCTGAATCTTAAGGGAAATGCTTTCAGATATGCTTCTACACATCGCTGTTAGGTTGCTTTGCCGGGATAATTGTTTTGAACATTATTATGTGGAGGGACGTGCACGACTTTAACGCTTGCCTTACGTTGCTCCCATCGTACTTAAAGACCACATCCCAGAAATAATTTCGAGCACCCAGAAAAGTGTAGAAACAATATTGAACGATCATCGCCTCCCAGGGCCCGACACGTGAGAGCCCTCCAGTGTCGGTGCTGTCTTGGTGCTCGAGATTTGTTCTGGTGGCCGAGGCTGAAGTAGGTCGGAACATCACTAGGGAACCAACAAGTGACATAAACATAAAAACGCGGAGGTCCGCGCGGATTTCTCGGATCGGCGCTGGACCCCCCTCCCTGGCGCGCGGAGCGCGCCGGACCGGAGGCGCCGCCGGGGGGCCCCAACGCCGATCCGAGACATCCGCGCGGACCTCCGAGTTTTTCTGCTTATGTCACTTCCTGTTCCCCTAATCACAGCGCTTGCCCCCTCTGCCCGAGGCCGCCCTGGCATGGAGTGGCAGACTTTCCCGGCGCCTCCCGGCGCCGGAGGCGGCGACGTATCGGGGAATGGGCCCCTCGGTGAGGCCGAAGCCAGCTGCATGCCGCAGATTTCGTACCCCCCCCCTTTCCCTATCCCCCCCTTTCGTCCGGCCCGACCCCTCTGCCCGAGGCCGCCCTGGTATGGAGCGGCTCTCCTTGGTCATCCACGGGTAGGGCAGCTGCTCCGCCGCGGCGGCCGCCGCCTCCGCCGCGGCGGAGGCCCGGGCGGCGGAGACCCGGGCGGCGGCGGCTGGGCGCGCGCGCTGGCGCTCCGCCTCCAGGACCAGCTCCTGGTGGGGGGGGGGGAGGGCACACTCCTCTTCCTCCTCCTCCTCCTCCTCCTCCTCCGCCTCCTCCTCCTCCTCGACCTCCTCCTCCTCCTCCTCCTCCTCCTCCTCCTCCTCCTCCTCCTCGACCTCCTCCCCCTCCTCCTCCTCGACCTCCTCCTCCTCCTCCGCCTCCTCATCTTCCTCCTCCTCCTCCTCTTCCTCCTTTCTCATCCTCCTCCTCGACCTCCTCCTTCTCCTCCTCCTCCTCCTCCTCCTCCTCCTCCTCCTCCTCCTCCTGAAGGGGGGCGACCAGCAGGGGGACTCGCGAATCATGGCCCGAGGCACGTGCGCGGACGAGGGGGGGGGGCATGACCGAACTGGAAGCGGGAGGGACGCCACGAAGTCCAGGGAAATGTCATGGCCGCGGCCATGAGATTCCCCCCCCCTTTTCAGCGTCCCTCTCACGTGGACTCCACCAACGGGCACTTTGGCCAGTAACCCAGCGAACCCAACCCTCCCCGATGTGGGCAACGCTGCACTGCCACAAAGGTGCCCTGAAGTGGCAACTTCCGGCAATTTTCCAAAGCACCCGTTAGGGAGTACCCGATACGGCGCCGCTGACCTTTGGTCATCACCGCCGTCTTGGTGCCGGTACCGCTGCTCCCCAGACCTCCCCCGGGGCGCGCTCTGACAAGACGCCCGCGAAGAGCCCAGCCGCGGCGACGAGAGCAGGGGCAGCGGGGTCGGCGTCTCCTCCTCTGGGCTCCTGCAGCTCGCTCTTCTCGACGATCGTGGTGGGCACCTCCAGGTTCAGCTCCCGCAGCCGCGCCTTCAGCTCCGCCACGGTGTGCGACCGGCTGGCGCCCGCCCGCGGCGCCCCAGCGGCCCCCGAGGGCGTGGGCGCGGCGCCACTGCCGGCGGCCCCGCGGGCGTGCTGCTCGGCGGCCTCCACGAGGCGCACGAGCTCGCCCTTTTCGAAGAGGTCGGCGGGTATCTCCTGAGCACGGCCGCAGGTAGGGGAGCAAAACGTGGCATAAAAACATATAAAAAAAAACTCGGAGGTCCGCGCGGACTTCTCGGATCGGCGCTGGACCCCCCTCCCTGGCGCGCGGAGCGCGCCAGCGGTGGCGCCGGAGGCGCCGCCAGGGGGCCCCAGCGCCGATCCGAGAAATCCGCGCGGAACTCCGAGCTTTTATGTTTATGTCACTTGTTGTTCCCCTAGCAAGGGGTACAGGCAGCGTGCTGACGCAAGGGAGCGCACCGGGAGTGGAGAGGCTCTCCTGGCCGCGGCGAGCTTCGGCCACGCAGAGGGATCCCGACCTGGGCACGGAGCGCCCCCCGAGCCCCGAGTGGTCCTTCTTTTTCAGCGCCTGGACTGTACGGAACAGAGGAGCGACGAAGACGAGAGGCTCCTACGCGAGACGACGTAGCGACCTTACGCAGTGGCTTACGCGGGCCGCCAGCGCGGCACGCCACAGCGGAAATAGGGACGCTGTCGCGCCAATGTCGGTGAAGAGTCCGTTTCTCTGCGTCGCTCAACTGGGTACGATGCCCAACAGTGTGCCGTGCAAAACTGGTAGCGGCCGCTGTTGGGGCAAGGGAGCTGCTGTCTCGGAGGGGCAACGCCCGCGGCGACACAGACAGCGAGTTCAGCTCCAGACGGAGAGGAGATCTGCTGCTGGTCTTCGCCCCCACTCTGTCCATACCCAGACATGCAAAGTCCTGACTTTTTCAGGCTGGCGTCCCTGGAAGCCCCGACCCATCCCCCAGGACTGGTTCTTCCTTCCGAGTCGTTGTTTGACGGCCCCGAGGCCCGGTGGGGGCCGCCCGAGGCCGAACACTAGCAAAAGCCTCCCGTCCTGATCTTTTCCCGACGCGATCATGTCTGTAGGGGGCCACATGCGAACCCTACCCCTACCCCCCACGACTTCTGAGGGGGACGGTGGGGTTCACTTCGCTCGAGAGTTCCCCAACGAAATGAACCCCACCCTCCCCCTCAGAAATCGTGGGGGGTAGGGGTAGGGTTCGCATGTGGCCCCCTAGTCTGGCTACCCGTTTCGGCCGTGCCGCTCTCCACGTGAAGCTCCCGCGCCCGCCGCTTCAGCTCCGCCACGGAAGCGCCGCCGTACGGCGACTGCATCCGCCCCGCGCCGGCCTCGCCCCCGCCGCGAGGGGGGCGCGCGCGCCCCGCGCGGGCGCCATGCGCGGCCCCCGCGAGCGCGCGCCCCGCGCCCGTCGGGGCGCGGCTCGGGGCTCCGATCGCTGGCTGCGGCTCCTCCTGCTCGCTCTTGGGGCCGGGCTCCTCCTCCTCCTCCTCCTCCTCCTCCTCCTCCTCCTCTTCCTCCTCTCTCCTCCTCCTCCTCCTCCTCCTCCTCCTGCTGCTCCTCCCCCTCCTCCTCTTCCTCTTGCGCTTCAGCTGTACAGAATCCCCCCTTTTGCTGGAGAACCCCCCCAAAAAACGGAACGTGCCACAGTCACCCCGTCGGCCCCCGCACGAACAGCAGCTGGTGCTTTCGTGCGCCGCCCCCCCTCAGTTTTGCAACGTTCCGTACGGTGCAGGTGTGTTTTCCGACCCTTCCCGGTCGCGCGCTCAACACTGAGATGGGGGGGCCAGGGGGCTCACCGAATTTGGCGGCGCGCAAAAGGGGGTGGGGGGAGTGGGGAGGGCTTCTTAGAAGCCCCCCTGCTTCGAAGGTGCGGGCCTTATCTGTAGATGTAAGGCCAGCGCCTTCTAAGAAGCAGCCTCCTTCTAAGAAGCCCTCCCCCCTCCCTCCCCATCAGCCTGTCGGGAATGTGGCCGCGCGCTGCCTGGAACCAGTGAGTTCTGAAGACCAACCGCCTCGTATCTCCCACCTTTGGCGTAAAGGGGTATGGTGCCACTCGTGGAAATGGTGATACCATCTGCGGTAAATAACAGCGCCAGATTCCCCTTTACATGAAATTCGCACCACACCCGTTTATACCATACCCCTTTCCACTGGCTGCCCATCCGTTGGAGCTCCGCGACGCGGCCGAGCGTTGACCGCCCGGTGGCCTCTGCAACAGCCCACGGAAAGCGTCGCCACGGAGATGAGCGCAGCCAGTGGGCGGATTCTGATCCTGAAGTGGGGCCTTGGGCTCGGATAGGGGTCTCGCCGAAACCTGCAGCCAACGTCCCAAAAGCGTCGAGCTAGCCGCCCATGTTGGACGCCGCCGCGACGTGTGCGAACCCCACTCCGGGCCTGGACACTGCACCCCCCCCTGCGACGGCGGGGGGGACCTGGTCCGTCTGCGACGGCACTTGCCGGGCAGTGCCCGCGCGCCGAAGCGCGCCATCGGCGGGGGCATCGTCCACCCCCCCTTCGCGGCGGCAGGCGCTCCGCTGCGAAATTTCGAGCTATCCGCAAATGATTTTGGGATTATTTTCGTAATATTGCTTAAAGTATTTTTTTTATTTTTCGTCGAAAATCACCCCCTAGCGGGGCAGTCCTGGACACGCGGGGCCAGCGGGGCCAGCGGCGACCCCCCCCCGCGGGGGCCCTGCGAGAGCACGCTCTGTCGCGTCCCCTCCTGGCTGGCGGGCCCCCCCGCAAGCAGAGCCTGGGCCGACGGGGGCATCGGCCGCCTCCCTCGCGGGGGCCCCGTGCAACACCGCCCCGGCGTCGCTACTCCCGACCGGGCCGAGGTCGCCGTCGCCAGCGGGGGCAACTACAGTCGGGGCGTTGGTCTAATGAACCCAAAATAAGGAACGAAGCCCCTTTTCTCCAGAAATTACACTTCGATTTCCCATCGAAAACCTCAGGAACCCCTGCGGCAAGCTGTGAAACACTTGAGGAACACGGAGCCCCTCCCCAACGAAAAGGGTTCCTTCTTCAAGGCCCCGACTGTACCACCACCCTCGCGGGAGCCCCGTGGGCAGCAGCGCCGCCACTGCCGCTCCCGACTGGGGCCTTCGCAAAGCCAAGGCCTTGCGCTTGCGCCCTGCCAGCGGCGCTCGCTGTGTCGCGCCGCTTCGGACTTGCCCCATCCACTCTGGAATCCCACCAGCCCTTTGGGCGACAGGTGGTCTAACGAGATTCCCCTTCCCTCTTCCAAAAAAACCCTCTTCCCCTACGGGGAGGGGTTTACCCCTCCCCTTACCCCCCCCTCCCCGGGTTTTTTTTCGGAGGGGCCCCGCGAGGTGTCAGGGCGTCCAGAACGGCCTCGGCGAGGAAGCCAAAATGATTGGTTGACTAAGGTTTTGGCACAATTTGGATTTTTTTTGGGGGGGGGGGGGGGGGGGGCGAACGTTGCACCACCAGCCCTCTGGGCGCCCCAAACCGCTGGTTTTACCAGGTTTTTGGCCCCATGTTGGCCTCGTTAGAGGGGGGGGGGGGGGGGGGGGGGCTGAACGTTGTCCCACCAGCCCTCCGGGCGCCAATATCATTATGGTTTTGGCCCCACTTGGGCCTCTTTAGGGGGGCCGAACGTCATCCCAGCTCCTCCTTTGATCGATGGCCTTCAAGATGGCCCCAAAAGGCTTTCCAGGGCTCCCAAGCGGGAAGAGGGCCCAATGAGGGCCCCAAGACGGCCCAGAGGCCTCCAAAACGTCCAAGATGGCCTCCAAGACGGCCAAGATGGCCCCAATACGCCTCCAAGACAGCCCAAGATGCACCCAAGACGGCCTGAAATGGCTTCCAGATGACCCAAGACGGCCCAAGAAACCCCCAGGAGGCCTCCAAGACGGCCCAAGAGGCCTCCAAAAAGTCTCCCAAGAGGGCCCGAAGAAGTCAAAATCATTGATTGTCCTTCGTTTTGTTTTGACAGATGTTGGCATTTACTTCTTTTCAGCATTCCGACGGCTCAAGACGTCCCAAGAAGCCCCCAAGATCGCCCACGAGACCCCAAAATGGCCCCATGACGGCCCAAGAAGTCCCCAAGACGGCGACAAGAGGGCCCAAGAGGCTTCCAAGACGGCTAAGATGGCCCCAGGATGCCTCCAAGACGGCCCAAGATGCACCCAAGACGGCCTAAGATGGCCTCGGGATGGCGCAAGGCGGCCCGAGAGGCCCCCAAGGGGCCTCCAGGACGGCCCAACAGGCGTCCAGGAGGCCTTCCACGAAGAGGCCAAACGTATTGATGTTCCTTAGATTTTCGAGCGATTTTGGCATGTGCTTCTTTTCGGCATTCCGATGGCTCAAGACGGCGCAAGAAGCCCTCCAGATCGCCCAAGAGGCATCCAAGATGACCCCATGACGGCCGAAAAGGCCCCCACGACGGCCCCAAAACGGCCCAAGAGGCCTCCAAGACGCCCAAGATGACCTCTAAGAGCCCCTGATATGCCTCAAGAGGGCCCCGAGGCGACCCAAACAGGCCTCCCAGGAAGGTTCTGGGAGGCCCCAAGAGTGCCCCAAGAGGCGCCCAAGAGGCCTCCTCCTCCTCCTCCTCCTCCTCTTCATTTTCCTCCTCCTCTTCCCTTCGCCCCCGCGCGGTACCTAGGGATGGCCCGAAGAGGCCTTTCCGAGGCCACCCCGTTGCTCCCAGAGATCTCTCGGTTCATCCGGTTGTTCGCTTTGATTCCCTAGATGTGTCCCTTCGTCCCTTTTCCCGGAAGCTCTCGTGGTCAGGCTGGCGGGGGTACTTGTTTGATCTCAAGCGATACGGAGGTGCCGCACGCCGTCAAAGTCATTAGCTGCGGCCTAAATTGCGAAAGAGAGGGGAAGGGGAGAGACAGCCTGGTGGGGATACTTTTTGCTCGCGAACGCAAGCGGAGGAGCCGCGCGCCGTCAGGATATTGCCGACTAGCAACGACCTAAATTACAGCGGCTTAAAACGGAGCCGAACGCGCGCAGCAGGCAAGCGGCGGGTAAACATGCAATCTAAGCAGCGGGGGCGGGCTCAACCGCAGCTCAGAAGCACCAGGCGAGGACCCGGTAGCAGGCCAGAATGGCTGAATTCGACTGCGCCCGCAGTGCGATGACGTCACTCACTGATATCATCAAGCGTTCCCTCGGCGTTGGGTCTGCAGGTGCCAACCGTAGAGCCAGCAATCCACGCAGTCGTGAGGCACGGTGCCGTGTGACCCCTTCCACGTAGGCAAGCGGGCCTACAAGGATGGCGTGGGACCAGCGCTGGGGGTGACGGTGTGCATCCAGGGGACGCCAGCCTGGTGGGGATGCTTTTTGGTCGACGGCCTCGTGAAGCGGGTCAAAAGGCGTCCAAACTCTAGCCGGGCCACGACTGGGCAGCGAAAAGCGGAAAGCAAGACAGGCGCAGCAGCCGGGCGGCAGCTCAGAAGGGCGAAGGTGGGGATACGCGAAGCGTGAAGACTTGAGGCCGTGCGTTTCGGAAATATCTCCATCCCGCGCTCCACTACGCGCTCCACGGAACGCCTGCGCGCTGGATCTCGCCGCGCTGGGAGTCGGCGACGCTCCTGCAGAGGCCCCGCTTGCTACCGAAAGAGGCCTCGCATCAGCGCTCGGAGCCCTCCCGAACGACGGCCCCGCGATTTTCTATGGGTGCCTGGCCCAGCCCACGGAGTGCCAATCCTTCAGAGCTCCGCGGAGCTGCCGAATGTTGTTTTCTCGGGAAGCTTCTGCGCCCTGTGTAATCACGGGGGCGGCTGGAAGTCCCTCTCGGGTAGACCCTTTTCGCCCTTGCTGATCGTCGAGCGCCCCCCTGTGGATCACTTCTTCTCCACTGTGCCCCCTGTTTTGCAACCTTGTGTCTAGGACAACGCCTTTACGCTCGAGCTGACATTGGCCATTGTGTCCTCAGCAGCTGCCCCATCACCTTTGCTATCAGCCGCCGAAGGAGCTGCACCTGCTGCGCTAGATGAGCCAGCTGCTGGCAACGCAAACTCTGGGGATGCGGCCTCACCTGCTTCTTCTTTCCGTATGTTGGCAAACCTTTCGGTATGCTTAGTATCAAAGTCGCGAAGTTGTCCTACATCCTTTGCGGCCTGGCCAACGAGCTCCTTCGCCATAGCGGGAATATTTTTTCAGACATGTCCTTCTGCCTCTACTCCACCTCATCCAACTCAGCTTGCTGCACGGCAACATCCTCGGGGAAGGTGGACGCATCGCCCATGCCCATAACAACTTACGTATCGCATTGTCCCCGGCAAGAGCGAACTGAAATCCACCGTCGGGCGCACCTAAGACTGTGCGGCAAACTGCTGCTGCGGTGCGTGAAGCTTGGCGACCACACCGCCATGCTCAGCCGTGTACCCGTCGAATT